TGATTCTATTTTATTCTAAGTATTACTGCATACCAGTTTGGAAGGGTAAGGGTGCTGGTGAAATTACAGGCACATGGGACTTCTCAACTTATATCTCAGGGTGACTGTTATGGATAGGCGTGTCACTTACCACCAGGCGAACGACTTGTTCGTCCCGTCACTTGCTGTCATAAAAAAATGGGAGCGTGAATAAGCATATAGAATAGAATAGAATAGAATAGAATAGACATTTATTGCAACGCCACAACACATAGATACAAAAAAAAAATTGATACTACTGACAAGCAAAACAAAACAAAAAGACGTAATAAACAAAATTAAAATAAAATGAAATAAGACAATAATAAACAAAGAGCAAAACAAAAAATACTAAATATAACAACTACAAATGTTGTACTGTCATGTGTGCGGTTGTGGCGTATGCAAAAGGACTTCATTCAGCTTATGCCACAGCCGCAATTGACTGTGGCGCTGGTTTTCAATGAGCCATATCGATTTCTCAATTGGTTTGATCCAAGGGTTTGGTCACCACCACTCTAAGGGTTAATCTACGTTGTCTGTAGTTTAGATACATTTACAATCACGAGGCGGCTCAGCTTTACTTCTCAGATTTAAAATATGAATAGTTGATTGTACAAACAAAATGTACGGATCTGTAATGAACATTTGGCGCTGCTCAATTTTATAAATTCTCATTTAAACAATCTCTTTAAAATCCACAAATTGATTAACCAGTTTTGTTATCGCAGTGCCATATTTTCTACGGTAAAGCACGTGTAACTCATTAGCTGTCATAACATAGTATAAATAAGACAAGTAGTGCATCTCCCGCTTGTTCGAGCCAGTGTATGCCTACGCGTCGTTCGAAGCGTAGGGTTGTCACGTTATTGTTACAATTGTATCGACTGGTTGCAAAGGTAAGGTATTCATCATAGTACTCTCATGCTACATTAAAATTACCTTTGTCAAATGCAGTAATTATAAATTGACATATTCATACCAGCATCGCGTATCGATATCTCGATTATAGGAGTATAATTTTGAAATACAAACATCAAAAGTGTCTAGGGATCAAGCATGCTTTTGCCAATTGCTGAAAATCAAGTATTTTGACAATTCTTTATACCCGACAGATTTTCTTGGTCAATTTTATGATTTAAATTTGAAAATTAAATTGACAAAAACATCCATCGGTGTTAAAAACAATAATTTAAAAAACCCTGAATTTCAGTAATTAGCAAAAACGTGATTGATCCCTTGACTTTTTTGATGTGTGTATAAATGAAATGCCAAATAATTCTGAATTTGAGGCACTCTTGTTCAAACAAACATAAACACAACAACCGACACGTCAACTACTTGATGTCATTTTTTAAACACCGATCAAAAACTTCAATTCCGTAAAATAAATGGTTCTTCTACGTAACGCGAGCACTCCGCGAGATTATGCGAATGTGTGTCCATTCTCGGCGTACGGCGGGCGCGCACACATAAACGACGCGCTGCTATGTTTGTATGGAGTTATACTACTTGTTTTATTATATTATGGTCATAATGTGCTTTTTTGCACACCGCTGTTGCAGTATTCAAGAAACTACCGGCCACTAAAATGGCATTCATTAATTGTGACTTGTTTAAGTGTTGCAAAACACCAGACAGAGAAAACGCGATAATTCCACCACGAGCTGGAAGTTTGGGTTTACTATTGATTATCATAATACTGTTAGAAAAAACTTGCGTACCAGAAGTTGAATGGACAGTTCCATGCATATAAAGGCATATAATGCGCACTAGGTTCCTCGCCAAGTAACGGATTTTTTTTTAAAGAATAGTCCCGCGAGCTCGCTTGACATAAACGTAGTTTGACCACATTTAGGATAAAAACTATATAATCACAATGACATTTTGTAGACACAATCTATAAACTCATATCTAGGGTCGTGGTTCATCATTTTCCTATCACATATAATACAAACAACTGAAATATTTAAAATGGTAACGTTTATATTTAAATAACTAAGAATCGGACATAAAGTAGCTATTAAATTAAAATCTTTTAACATCGACATAGCACGGCCTTACTCGACCTTTGTTCACAAAAATTGAAATAAAAAAAACTTTAAGCAAGTAAAAGATAATACAAGAACGCAAGATCAACCATGAACCACTCGTCAAACCTGTAGTATTTAAGAAATTAAAACAAATAAATACAATAATTAGAGTTGACTATTTTTTTATTATTAAATTAGACCTAAAAAAGAAGTAAAATAACCGACCAAACGTCTCAAAAAACACTGCATTGTTTTGGGGATTTCAATAGTGTTCCGCAAAATGTGCCAGTGTGTGTAATTACAAAATTATAAGGACTCAAAAACTCGTAATTTTCGACCGTAAGGTAAATTAACGCAAGTTTCTCAAGACAAATGAAACATTTCCATATTTTGAAAAAGTCAGGACAGAAACACCAGACATGTACACAAATTTGAACACGTAACAAATGGGCGGCTACACACCCTCACTCAAATCACGATTTCTTTGGATAACAACCACATTATCAAATAAAGCGGCAGGTATTACACCACATAGTCACCTTACGTAAAACATTGAAAAACACGCTATTTGTAAGTCTGTGTCATATTAGTGGATAAAATGTTATTCCTTCTAAATCCACAACCTGTAAGGCTTAATTTACCATAGCATAACGAACTCTATGTGAATTGTGTAACGTACAAACTACATACGAGCAAAAATAAAGGACGCGCGTCTTCCGGAGTCTCATGTAATTGCGGGAATTTTCGCAGTTACGGTATGTACTTTTTACATTACAAATTTGAATAGAATTCATTATTCATAAGAATAAGAAATCCAATGATCCAGAGTTGCAGACAACTAGGTTTCTCTATCTAGAAATGTGACCAGCAATACAGCAATAGCAATAGCAGCACGTTGTCAAATAAAATACAGTACCTATATTGTGAAAACAAAGCCTGATCGCAGATCTTTGTGTTATTCGGAGATTTGATAACAAAAATACAAATGCACTCGACTACGGCACATTTCTATTTAAATAACACGTTATAAACGGCAAATTTCAGATGTTCCCACACGTGAATTCATATGTATAGCTTTTCTGTTTTATTAACTTCTCATGGTCATCTCGAATTATCTGGCGAACACTACACTTTACTCTTGACTTCGCGACTGTAATCTGCGCTCTGATATTATATAAGCATTGACAGGGATTTTCTTAGTTACGAAGGCAACGTTATTGCGAAAGATATAAGCAGCAAAATTGAGTTATTTATTAATAGCTTCATCATTGTTGATATTATTAAACGCGAACAGATAGCTGGAGATCGCCATTGCTGCGACGTCTATATGTTTGTTAATAGTCTATACAACCTCAAATGGCTTTGATTGATTCCGCATGACAGTGAAATTGTTGAAACAATCACTTTGGAAAAAATATATAGTAAAATTGAGGATGCACACGATACAACACGACCAATACTGACGTACCCCTCTTTCCAACAAAAAAAGAAATGAAAATCGGTTCACAAATTAAATTAATTCACCGGAGCAAGCGCGTAACATACACACAAAAAAAAATATAGTCCAAAAGCATTGACTTACAAATAAATGGACGACGGGTCTAATACAAAAACCACGAAAAAAATGTCCCAAGTCAACCTATTCGAAATTTAAATTGTAATGTCATCGCAGTATCGCGCTGTCAGTCGAACAAATGAAGACTAAAGCGGAGTTTGGCGCTCTGTATACGATTTTAGCGCCTTACAAGTGCGGACACTTTTTAGCGCGAACCCGACGTCCATATAATTGTAAGTCAATGTCCAAAAGTTAAAAAATGTATTCATCACAGTATTCTCGTGCTATACTAAAGTAACATTTGTCAAAAGTACTACTTACGTTAATTTATTGCTATTAAAAACCATTATACTTGTACTACCATGATATTCATCATTTTGAAATGTGAATTTACTCCACTACTTTCTTATTATTATTAAATAAAGCGCACACGATGGGAGTATGATGAAATAGAAATCAAATGCTGAACAATTTGCAGCAGCAATTCTGAATTTCAAGCAGAAGACATCAAACAATCAAAAAAGTAAAAAAAGAAAAAAATTATATATTTGACACAGAAAAATATTTTAAAAACCAAGCGAACGCTCCGATAATATAATGAATGACGCGTGATGCGCGGCGCGCGTACATACATACTAGCCGCGATGCTACATTTGTATAAAATTAATAATAATAATAATTGTTTATTTGAACAGAAACGTTACATTTCATTATAAGGACCCGGGCTTTCGAACTAGGTTCTATGACCTGTATTACGGAAATCAGTATCTTCTCTCATAATTAGTTACATTTATTTATGTCTGGCAGTTTATGTATCTGCTATTAATAAAATTTTAAAGTTAGTGTAGTAGTGATCTGACTTATTATACTATGATATTTCAAGACATTGTCATTGTGCACCCAGCCTAAATCTACGTCATTAAATCTCTCTGATTAAGTTATCAAACATCGCCGTGTGTGGTTTGTCGAATAAACATAAAGATTTCAAATATGATGGCCTCTGATAACACTAGAATGTTTCGACACGTCACTCTGTAGCCTGACCGAAGTTTTTTGTTTTATGATATTAAGGGACGTGACGAAAAAGTTATGCGCCTGATGGTCAGCGACATGCCTGTCCGCAACAATTGAAGTAACACTCAGAGCTTTAAATCACAAAGATCTGAGGGGCACTGCTATTGCACCCGTCATCCTGAGACATTAGTTGACAAGTCTCATTTGCGTGTAATTTGTAATTTCACCAGCACCCTTACCCTTCAAAACCGGTGACAGTATTTCCCTGGACGAACTCTTTCACAAGAAGCTCTACTGTTACTAAACTAGTTACACACGTTGCAAGTCACATTTTTCGCAGAGACGGCTAGGAAATAAAGCAAATAAAAATTTAAACTCACTCTATAAAGTCCTCTGATCCCCTCGGTTCTATAGATCTTGGCGAGTCCATCAACCATGCCCTTGTATCTCTTATGTTCAGCTATGTTCTCCTCGCTGTACTGGAGACAGAGACGGGTCTTCACCACCCAAATAGGGTTGGTCATTACGAGGGAGAGTATCCCGGCTTCGGCCGCGGCCAGCATATGCAGACCTGGACCGAGTGGTGTGCGTGCGTTGCCTCCTTGAATCCATGTCTTTATGGCGTTATAGCTGTAAAAGTGGTCGTTGTGTATAGATAGAACACAAATCACTAGTTAATACGGATGATAAACAAGTGACGACGAAAGACGCTTTCGGATGTTACGTATAGTAAGTATTATTTCAAGTTTGGATATAAAAAAATATTTTTTCGAGTGTAAATCGCAAACATTAGTTTTTTCTAACAAATTAACGTTTCGGGACGTTTACAGGTTCCATGAACACGACTAGCTGGTTGGTTTGTTTGTTTGAACAAAACAAATATACTCTATTTAGGTCCGAAAATATAGTTTTATTTCCAAGTATTCTTTGAATTGTGACAAAATTCCTTATAAATTGAAGCACTGAAATTAAAAATCATATTGAACTAAATCAATCAATCATATGATTCAAACAAATGATGTAGGCAATAAGTATACTTTATAAACTTGTCAGTACCAACGCGTTTGATTGATGGCTGTTTTCAAACAAAGCGTGGGATACTATAAAATACTTTGGGACAATGGAATATGGTTCAATTTACATCAAAAGAAATAAATACAAAATAGAACCATGAAAAATAATTATAATTTAAAAACCATTGTAAAATAAATTCCTAAGATAGTGGCATTGTGAAGTACGATTATATTGGAATTCCACCATTTTAAATTGTCGTTCGCTATTTAATTTTATTACTTAAATGCTAACACTTGATTTGTAAAAACTTTGATCAAAACTTAATTGATATTTAAGACGGAATTATGCTGAAATGATGGAATCTAACATCACATCAAATTCGTCTCATCAGTTTTGCATCAAAAAATGCAGCCAGCCAGAAAACATGACTAAAAATTTTCTTTGATCATTTCTGTACAATTACATATCCTTCTGTAAATTACTCTGAACATATAGATATAACTTGCTTAATATTCTAAATACATGGACTTACAACAAGAAATAAAATCCCCATGCTGAGCCGGATCCCCAAACGTTGGGTGTGACTCCTCTATAGAGTCCACGGAAGCCTTCTTTCTTCACTATGGTAACAAATGCACTGCCTAGGCCATCGTAGCGCGGTACTGTTGCGGTCCTGCCGTCATTTACTGAAACATAGTGGCTTTTTTTATTAGTTGCGCAAAAAAAATTAGTTCCTAAAGTCTAATAACTATGTTAATCTAATTATCAATAACTATGTTAATATATTTGTAAGGATACATCAACAAAAATGTATACTGGCGAAGGACATGAGTGTCAGAAACACGTCAGAAGCCTAAAAGCCCATACAAACTGTTATAAAATATGTGATTTTTTTTAAACAGAATACTAGATTATTTCTTAACTTTCCTTTGGAAGATCTAAAAAAGAACTACGCACAGGCCTTTTACAACTTTTATTCTACTCGTTCGCCGATTTATTCAAAAGTAAAAACTGATCTATCACAAATCAATGCATATCTTATTTTAGTTCCTTAAAGTTCTTAATGTATTGTTTACTAGCATGTCTTTATGTAAAGCTAAATAGAATTTAAGCAAATAAATTATTTTTATAATATTTATTTTAAATTACCACTTAATATAATAATAATAAAGCACCCTGTATTGCGGGGGTCATGGAGACACATAGACAACCACAAATTACACCCAGATTCACGATAGAAAAAATGTGGGCCATACAAATATTTCACCCGGCCCGAGAATCGAACCCTGGACCTCTCTCTGCATGGCAGTCCAGCATGGTAGGGTCTTAGATAACTTCAAAAAATGTTTTCCTTTCACTTTTATGTTATTACATGAATGCATTATTTATAAGCATTATTTATTTAATATGATTGCTTGCTTACTTAGTCTGTGTTACACATAAAAAGACTACTTTACTACGTCACAGTAATAAATAAAAATTAAAAATGTGGTCAATTTCTCATTCATGGGAGCCGGTTTCACGTCGCCCTAATTTTAAGAAAAGAAGAAAAAAATTAAACACTCTTGGAAATCGCAATATTTCCCATCGAGGATAAACTCTAATAACTTTCACGCCGAATACATACCGTAACTTTCCAATTTATTATAAACAAACATGATTTCTTGGGAATACAAAATGTGTTTCAATTTTTCTTATCATTAGTGTCACTTCAACTAAAAGCCTCCTAATAACAAAAGTTCATACCGCATCACCTTCACCTTTCGCACAAGTGAGAAGAGGCTCCTGTCAGATTGGAGTGTATACATGGTGTATACAGTAAAGTATCCTGTGCATACGTTTTAGCAAAAAATCGACTTAAATACCAATTTCAGCGCTAGTGACTAAATTGTTCTCATTCATGTAAAGCAATCTATCTAAATAAGTATTAAGTAATAGTTTTATAAACTTTATTGTACATTAATCAGACAAAGGGAACTTTAAAATCCATGCACTTTTTTTATAACGGTTCAGTAAATTTCACACACTTGACAATTAAAAATGTATCCAAATATCATTATTGTCGCTCTCATTCTTGTCTACTTTTAAGTCAAATAGTTACTTTAATCCAAATATTTACTTGAAATATAACAATTTGATAGTGATAGTGGTGGTGATGACGGTGGTGACGATAATGATGGTGGTGATGATGACGGTGATGATTGTAGTGATGATGACGATGATTGTGATGATGATGTGAATGGTAATGATGCTGATGATAATGGTGGTCATGATGATGATGTTGATGGTGGTGATGATAATATATTTATGTACAACAAAGTTTGAGTTTACATAAAAAAAATACTTATTTAGATTTATTTATTAATTACATTTAGATAGATAGATAGTCTTATATGGATGAGAAGGATTTTGATACAAGAACTTATATTAAAATATTTGTTACTTGTTAAATGATGTTAAGTGTTCTTTTGTGAACAGTAAAATGTGTGTTGTAATAATAATTTCTCATTATTGTGCCGTCTTTCTCATTTATGTTTATGAGAAAATCATTCATGTTACTGCAATCTCATATGTGTGACCTAAAATATCGTTTTTTGTTGTATTTAACATAAATATTTATGTGATTTTATAATTATTGACATTGCTTGAACTTATTTGTATATTTAAGACCTTAAAACCAAAAGAAAAAAGGGTTTTACAAAAATAACTCATCACTCAAAAAGTGCCATTGAAATTCGGAAAGTGAAATTCACCCGGTAACTGTTTGGCCATGGAGGCAGTTAAGGTAAGTTAACTTTGGGTGGTTCAGATTCAATTAACAATAATTAATCAATGTTTGTAAAATCATTGTGGTTTTCTGATTATGTGAATGAAGTTTTTTTAATCTATTTTTTTATTTAGGCTTAATTTTAGCCACCTTGAGTGACCATGTCAGCCTCATGAGAGGAATACTGGGTTCCCTATTCAAGGGACATGTTCAAAAACTTGTACAAGTTTAGAGCGCTAATACACATACATGGCTCTCTGAGCCAATAATTAATTTGTTCATTGCATAAACTTAAGTACTGCACAATGAGGATGGTTTAAAATCCATCATATGAAAGAATTTATTAGTTGGAAAGTGACCAGAAAACAGTCGAAAAGCCGTTACAAGATATTTCCTTCCTATATTGACAGAATCAAACCAGGGTACCCACTGTGGATTACTCTGAATGGTTCTGTACCATATTCCAAGGCCTTTATCCACCGACTGTTCTCCGAAATGATATTCCCATTTTTCTAGGGTTCTTTTCTTAATTAGTTGAATAATTTCGTTGAATTTCGTTGATATACTACTCGTGTCAAACAGTATTTCTTGAAATGGTACATTATTATTTAAAGCGACGAGGCTATTGTTTAAAGACGTGTTGATGTATTTTGATAAATGGAGGTCGATAGTACTTGCCTGTACTAATGTAAGACATGATAGCATGAAGTTTTATGTAACGAAAATAAGATTGCATGTTTGTACGTAATACCAAAATAAGTTAGCCAAATAAATACGTTTATTAACACCAAGACTATAGACATTTGTCATTTGCACATTTATTTTAAAAAGTGTTAATTTGGTTGCTCAAATGCCTAACATGATACACTCACTCATTTTACATGTGATCAACATGTTTACTAGATTTGCAGGCAAACATTCAATACTCTATTTTTTGTAGTTTGTAAAAGGGTATGGTGATAAATTATTGGATAATCTATGGATATGGATCCATAACAATGTTATATATAACATATTCTAAAAACACAATTCAAAATTATCTGTACATTTACAGCAACATATATTTTATTAATAATCATATTTTAATCATTATCATCATCATATTTTATTCAATATTTAATTATTTATATGTAACATTTTCCAAAAACACAATTCATAACCGACTGATCACAAGACAACAAAATAAAAAAAAATTCATGATCTTGGATTCTAGACTTTCAGTCGAAATATGAGAGATAAAACCATTGACTTACAATTATATGGACGTCGGGTCCGCTCTAAAAAGTGTCCGAACTTATAGGGCGTTAAAATCGTAAATAGAGCGTCATTCACGCTTTAGTCTTCGTTTGTTTGACTGACAGCGAAGCAAGCAAAATTAGACAGTACTGCAATGACATTACAATTTAAAAGCTTTTTCATATTCCTTTACATGTCACTACGTTTAAATAGGTTGACTTGGGACATTTTTTTCGTAGTTTTTGTATTAGACCCGTGTCGTCCATTTATTTGTAAGTCAATGGATAAAACACATAGAACTCTTGCTCATGAACCACTGCAAAATTAAAAAATGTTTAATACTTTAAATGGCAAGCACACTCTAGTTATCTCAGTTACATAATTGTTTTTTTAAACAACAGTGATAAATAAATCAAAGGTTTTTTTTGCCTGTAGTTTTAATCTTAATTATCTTAATCAAATAAAACGTTCAGAATCAGCTTTATAAAACAATACCGCCCTCGGGACCCAAAAAGGCACAACTGCTGTATAAAGCATGCATAGCTGTACCTTTTTTCGTTACAACGACAGAATACATCTCATGTCTTTTCCTTTTCATGCCTCATCTTTGATTAACATGCATCAATGTTTTACATACACACTCGTCAGTTAAGGGTACACCTAGCATTTATTAAGGACATTCTTAATTTGGCCTTGGTAAGTTTGTCTTGATCGGCCCTTACCAACTTATCTGCTCATACTCACTTTTGTCAATCTTCTTCATTCATCCTCATTCTACATGGCCAAATCTCTAAAGTAACTCTTTCACAATCTTTATCACTACATCTTACAATAACTCAAGGCCTCTTGTCATTCATGTTTCCTTCAAAAGATCAATAATGTGGTTTTTTTTAAGTCTTTATTTATTTAGGGATTTTTGATCATTATTGAACATGTCATCAAAAACACACTTAATAAAATCTAAAACAGATAAATCAAACCAAGCAAAACATGTATAAAAAATCTTTGCAGCACTACAGTTGGCTCCAACAAAATGGATTGTATCTAAACCAACATCAACTATAGATATGTGATACTAAAGAAATATCCTTAACATTGCAAATTCATTGTTGAATCTTAAACTCAACATGTGTTTGAGCTGCCCTTACTCTTTAGTTGTATCAGACAAAAAAAATTTAATAAAAAATAATAACCATAATATTTACAAACCATTCCAATTGTCAGTTTAAAAATGTGAATTTGCATCCTAAATCCGTAACTGACTGTACCAATTGGTACAGTATTGTTATAGTATCATAAGTACAAGTCATTTAGATCATTACTGTACATATTACTACAGGACAATGATATTATCTAAATAAATTAGATAAATTGCACTATTATGTTACAATAATCATCTTAGCTTCATGTTATAAAATTAAATGTAGAAAAAATTTAAATAGAAATAATTAATAAAAATTGTAATATAGGTCCCAAATTATGATACTTCAAACAGATTTCATGAACTGTATTGCATAAAATTGCAATTTAATCTGTGTTGATAGAAAATCTTCTTATCTGTGTAATGCTCCATTAACAAGCTTGGAGACCTTCACAATGAGAAAAACAGTGGAAAAGAAATATTCAATTTATTTAAATAAAACCAATTTAAATAAATTTCTAGAACCTTAAATACATTCATCTGATTAAAAAGTGTAAAAGAACTTGCTAAGTAACAATTTATATAAAGATATCTGCTTTAAACTTAAGACTAGCCTACTGCATAGTGTACTATATAACATTGGCATTCATAGATATTAATTTTTGTGGGTTATAATAGATATATAATCACTTTTTATCATTATTATTGATAGTCATTCCTACAACCTCAAGGTTGAAGAAATGACGCATTTATTTGTCGGAATTTGACCAGTGATCTGATGGTAAAATTTACATAAAACGGAATCTACTACAAAGGAGAACAGGACAACAAAATCATTGATGATTAATAATAAAGTAACAAATTAATAATTGTAATAAATTTCCATAGGACATACACAAAAGTGAAGTGGACTAACATTAGAAGGACCTTGATATGATTAATAATAATTTTAATAATGTGCGAAACAGCTAACCAATTACCTAGTGTTAAACTACCAAACTCCCTGTATTATGAGTACCAGCATTTTTTTATCTCTACTGGACATTGGTTATGTTCACCATAATTTTTATATTAATTTCACAAAACTACTGTACGTAGTATAGATAATTTCACATAGCATGGGTATAGTGACGTTTGAGATTTGAAAATTTGTGGAATGTTGTAACGTAAAATCGAATTTTTAAAAATCAATATAAATATCTAATCGAGATAATTTGTAACGAAGAGAGAATTGATTTAGTGCCAATAATTAAAAAACAAGTAAGAACAAAATCAAAGGATATGATTTTTATGCCATTAAGTTACTATAAAAAACTAAGTAACAAATTTAAAAAATCAACACAAATAAAATCAACAGCAATGAAAAAAAATTTGAATAATTGCTCCAAAACAGTTATGCAAAACTCAAAACAAAAGAAATCAAGCTGCATACAAGGCACTCGTATTGAAGCGAGATACACAATAGCCAATTCGATTTAGCAATTCTATGGTGTCTTTATGGAATATTTTGTATTATGCATCAAGTAGTTGGGGTAATTTATTTTTATCTTATTCATTTCCATTTCTATCTACTTAATACACTGTAATTTTTACTTAAAATTACAACCCCAAAATTTTTTTTTTTGTTTTATTATGACAAATTTACTATTTCTTTGTGTAAGCTGGTTGAGAAATTAGTTAAACATATTAAATGTTAAAAGTTAATTTAAATGTCACAGTACCCATCCTATGTGAACTGGACTATAATTTTTAACCTTGACATTGGAAGAATTACTATGGAAATCAAAGGAGCCATTAGAAAGAAATTGGAATGAGTGCCACTGCAATGCTATTAACCCTGGGGCACTGCATAGAACAACCAGACCCACAACAAATTCAGAAAGTAAATTTCCCACATGAGCCCTACCGGGAATCGAACCAGCGACCTCCAAATTCAGCGCCTATATAGCACCCTTGGGCCACCATGGTCGTCAATAGGACAGGGCATTTCAGGTGCACGCAAAGTATAAATTAACTTTCACTTTGAACACACGTCAAGTTCAAGGTGGCAGTATAATCAATTTGTCCTCCAAAAATAGTATTCTAGAAATCAATACAAAAAAAATCGATAGAGCACATGACGAAACTTAATGTATCTATCACATGGCAACTAAATGTGGCAAACGTAGGAAATGTCACTCACCAGCGAAACGAATTTTAATGAGATCCAGGGGGTGCAGAATCAATGTAGACGTGACGCCACCTGATATACCAGCTACCAGGTGCTCGTACTTAATGTGGCTTAGCAAAGCCAACTTGGAAGACGACGAATTAGGATTCTTCATTGTAGTCATGCCGAAATAATTAAATCACAGATAACACCTAAACGCATCGTGCGAGGACCGTATTTTCGCCTCTATCTACCGGCAGACACTTTCCCACAACTCGTTAACGAAATTTAATTTAAAACAATCTTCACTAAACATCGTTGCTTTCGTAATAATACCACGAAATTACGTTTCGCGATTGTGAATGACTTCCGTGATCGCCAAAGTGAATGTTGCATTTCGTTTTACACGTGCGACTTAATAATTTTTTAAATTTTATTTATAAAATAGGAAAGTTAAATCAAGGTATCAATCACCATCCAAAATTAACATTACAGTATGCGATTATATTTATGATTAAAATTAGCATTATTAGAGTTCTCATGAAATAATATGCATTTTTAACATAAAATATAATAATGGTTTGTGTAAGTTGAAACGTAAAAGTGACGTAATCGAAGAGTACCTTTTGCTGTAAATTTTGCAAAATAATTTATGATTTCCAAATTAAATAACATTTACTATGAGCTAATTGTAAGTGATGTATTATTGATATATAAACGCAATTTACAGTGTAAATAAGAACCGTTTCTTCACAAATCTTACGTAGTAATTTGCATTACGTGATGAAATAAATTTCAAATGACATTTTACTATAAAAAACTTAATGTGAACAAATTTTCATTATTGGCAATAATAGTTTGAAGTGTCAAATGCCATGCGTGTCAAAGAGTTACCATTCTATCCAAATATTTCTATAATAGTAGAAAAAAATAGCTATCCTTATTATTTGCATTACTAGCGCTTCTTTTATTTTATTTTATTAGGGACAAAAAAACAGGTGTAACAAACATCTTGTTACTTATTTATACATAATTATGTACCTTTTTAATATTATATTTTGTTTCCGCCAAGATTATGTAGTACTACATACAAGAAAGTGCATGTTTCAATATTTGTTTATATAATTTTTACGACATGGTTATACACTATGTTAAAACGCATTATATTAACTCAACTTTGGTGAATTACATCAGGTAATGCTATTTCTCTGTAGGCAGTGCGCGGTTGTGTCCTTTAATGCCCCCATTGGCTTTCACATTGATATGCTAAGTTTCGTAGTGTAAGCACGCGTATATGCTATCACTTTGTATACAGTGTTTTTTTTATGATACTAAGTGATGGGACGAACACGACGTGCGCCTGAAAGTAAGCGACACGCCTGTCCATAACAGTTGCAGGCCACTCAGAGCTTTAAATCGACCTGCACAGCCTCTGCGCCTATCACCCTAAGACATAAGTTGAAAAATGAAACCTGGGACCTCTGCGTGGCAGTCATGGTAACCGTTCGGCCACGGAGGCAGTTAGTTAAAGTTAACTATTTTGGTATAGTAAATTTTTTGGTCAAGGGTTACGAATAATCAACAATTGTTTTTAGTGCTTTCAACGTAAGGATCAATTCATTGTATGGGACTGTGATGAAATGTTTTTCGTGCAAAATGAATAAAATTGACCATATTTTAATGCTTATAGAGTTAGCTTTATGTAAAGATAATTTTATTGTAATATAAGAAAAAAATCGGGAGAGCAGAAGTCAAGGTCAAATTTAATAAAAATATTTTTTCATATAAAGTGAATAACATTAACAAATAGAACTATTCTTACGTTATACTGATGAGCTATAATTTTTTGAAATAATTTGAACAATTATAAAAAGCAAAATAATATATCGTGAAACAATTTATGCTTTTAGTTAGTGTATTTGTCAGCACTACAGACTACTATTAACTCAGAAAATGACTCGAATGATAATCCAACTCATAACTAAATGAATGAAGTTTTATTATGATCTTTTTAATCACGAACTTTTATGAAGTTTAAAAATCCGTGTTTTTACTAAATTACGAGTAAGAATTCATTTGTCACGCATCTGGTAACTCTCGTTTCGGTTGGCAACATTAAACTTTTCTGAATTGACAGCTGGGGAGGCTTGCTAGATTATTGCCCATTTATTACGTAAATCAGCGAACAGAAATTTTACAGTAACAAAAGCAAGGAACAACAGAAAAATGTTGAAGGTAGCGACTACGTTGAGGTTACTGCCCAAACAGGGCAACCAGGTACGTCTCCTGGCGACGGCAGTGGGTTATAAGCAGGCCCTAGTGAATGTGCCACCAACTAAGCTCACTGTTCTTGATAATGGGATTCGTGTCGCTTCAGAGGACTCCGGCGCTCCTACTGCTACAGTAGGACTTTGGATAGATGCCGGTTCGAGATATGAAACGTCCAGAAACAATGGCGTCGCTCATTTCCTAGAACACATGGCTTTCAAAGGCACTAGCAAAAGATCGCAAACAGACCTGGAGCTGCTCGTAGAAAACATGGGCGCGCACCTCAACGCTTACACGTCCCGGGAACAGACAGTGTTTTATGCCAAATGCCTCGCCAATGACGTACCAGTTGCTGTAGAAATCCTTGCAGACATCATCCAGAACTCTTCGCTCGCTGAACCCGAAATCGAACGAGAACGAGGCGTCATCCTTCGGGAGATGCAAGACGTCGAAAGTAATCTCCAAGAAGTGGTGTTTGATCACTTGCATGCAACAGCTTTCCAGGGTACTCCATTGGGCCAGACTATTTTGGGCCCCACCAAGAACATTAAGAAAATTTCTAAGGCTGACCTGCAGCAATACATCAAGACTCACTACCAGCCTGCACGTATTGTCCTTTCTGGAGCTGGTGGAGTTGACCACCAGAAATTAGTTGATCTAGCTAACAAGCATTTTAGTGGCCTGAAGAACTCTGCCGGAGAAATTCCAGAACTAGCTCCATGCCGCTACACTGGATCTGAGATTAGAGTAAGAGATGACTCTATGCCTCTTGCGCATATTGCAATTGCTGTTGAGGGAGCCGGCTGGACCGATGCTGACAACATTCCTCTAATGGTTGCCAACACACTTGTTGGAGCTTGGGACCGTTCTCAGGGAGGTGGTGCCAACAATGCCTCCTACCTGGCTCGAGCTGCATCTATTGAGAACCTCTGCCATAGCTTCCAGTCATTCAACACTTGCTACAAGGACACTGGTCTGTGGGGTATTTATTTTGTCTCAGAACCCTTACAGATTGAAGACATGGTTTATAATATACAGACAGAATGGATGAAGCTTTGCACATCTGTTACTGAAGCCGAGGTTGACCGTGCAAAGAACCTTCTGAAGACCAACATGCTGCTCCAACTTGATGGAACAACTCCCATCTGTGAAGACATTGGTCGTCAGATACTATGCTATGGTCGCCGTATACCTATCCATGAACTTGATGCCAGGATTGAATCTGTGACTGCCAAGAATGTTCGTGATGTTTGCAATAAGTTCATTTATGACCGCTGCCCTGTAGTTGCAGCCGTAGGACCTACTGAAGGTCTTCCTGACTACACCAGACTCCGGGCTGGCATGTACTGGCTGCGAGTGTAAATTAATATTTTTAATAGTTTACTTTTAGATTCGAAATTTAAATCAATTAAGAACGAACCCATTAAATTGTCACTCAAATGTCTGTTGTTTTATTGAAATAAAACAAAATGTCTTTGGTGGAATGTATTTATTGTTAGAAGAATAAGATAAATAAATACAATCTGTAAATAAACAGTTCTGTTTTTTAATCCATTTTGTATTATTGTTTATTATCTAATTAATAAATTATCTACATAATGGTGGTGTCTGGTGACTCCAGGGGGTCAGTAGAGGGTTTTTCGTCTTTTTTCTCTGGCACGCTGGTCACACTAGGTTTGCGAATTGTGCTGATTTTCCTCTTCTTGCCATACGGCAACACTGGCTCACTATGGCTAATAAGACTAGCTGAAGAAATAAATACTGATACCTGCTCTGGTGTGGGACACGCTATTATGAGCGCATCTTCATGGGAATTGTAAGCATTCGCAATATACTGTTCCAATTCCACAAAATAGCCGACGACGTTATTCTGTACGAAAGAAGAACACCATTAAAATATACACATTTTGTACAAATGTACAGGTTTTGGATTTCATTTTCAAATAGTTATTAGTTTGACATTGGACTAAAGTAGTCCAATTAATTCCAATTTTTATGGTTGAAGATAGTCAAATAACATGCCATTGTATGATAATAATGTCTTACGCTTGGTTTCTCTCAGGGTCGTATTCTAGAATTCTACTCAATGCTCAAGTTAGGATTGCACTGGAAGTACGACCCTAATGGCAGGGACTTGAGTATGATTTCGAGTGCTTTAAACCATACTCAAATCCTGACTTGAGCATTAAGTAGAGTTCTAGAATACGACCCTAAAAGTTGATGCAGAGCCAAGGTTATCCTTAACCTGAATTTGAAGTGATTAAAAAATTACATACCCTGATAGGTCGAAAGAGAATAAATTCAGTCTCCTTATTGGCCAAGTAAAGCTGCATGGACCGCTGCAGCGGCGCGAGGTGCGCCTTGATTGCTTTCTGGGCTTCTTTTACTACGATGGCCATTTCTTCAGGAGGCGGAGGTTGGGTCTTATACTGACCTTCGACGGACGTCATAGCTTGAGCCTGCATTGGCAATTATCAAAATGTTTAAAAACCCAAAACTGTCAAGGATGCAGAAAAGGAGTATTGCAGATGTGGTAAGCCTAAAATAATATTAAACTTCGAATATTAACAAAGTTATAATATCTATTTTTAGAAGAAAAACCGTGCTTATAAAACGTAAGATCTAAAAAATCCTGTTAGTCTCCTCATTAGAAGTACGTTAATTTATTAGTGTCATTGCACTGAATAAGCCTATAGAGTGAAATGTCTAAAATGCTCATATTAATTGAAACAACATTCTAGTGTACTCATTCAAGCCCCTAGGACATAGGTCTACCTGTTCAAAGTTTATGTATGTAGTTTATATATATTACTTGCATTCCATTTAAAATATCAAAAACGGATTTATTAAAAGTACTCAAAAATAATCCTTAATCTAGTGTAAAAGATTTTAAATTCACATGTAATCATAAGTTGATTGGTTTTATCTCATGAAAGTCATTAAAATAATACAAGCAATTTGAAACAAATTAAATGAATACTAGACGAAATCACATACGTTGCTCCGATCCCAAAGTAAGTAATTAAAACACTCGTATTCACCAGGAAATCGGAAACAACGACGGTACCACAAACAGTCAAACCCGACATAGTGGCTGGGGGCCAGAGATGAAAATTGATGTGCAAACTGACTACGCATGTCGTCTAAGGAGATTATGTATATGATAAGTTTTACTACACTCCAATATTAAAGCACAGAAGGTTATCGGCTAATTTCGTATGTAGAATCTTTAAGCCTCTCTATCTCCTCAAAAGATCTCATTATGGTAAATAAGACCTTATTACACCAAGGGTGTTATAAGTTGAAAGAATTTAGTCCAGATGTTACTCAGTTCAATACACAACAATTTGATTTTTTACGTGACTAAGTTTCAAGTTCCGCCGTATATGTTCCGTAAACAAATTAATTCCTCAATGAGAATAATAATGTTATAAATAGAAATGAAACCCGTGTTTTACAAGAAAATTTTGATGGACTATTCTCGTTTTTCACTGTCAACACTATGTTGCAAGCTTTTTTAAAATAAAGTCTATACCCTGAAACGTTTTTCTAATCGATTTTGTAAGCTTCAAACCCTTCATCGTCGTTTGAGTGAATCTTGATAAATAAACCGTGTATCTTTCAACCCGGACACTGAGAGAATTGACCTCAGTGGGACAGAAGCCAAGTACCCAACAAAAAAAAAGCTTCAAACCATTTATACCAGTTAAGTGAAAAATGCATTTTAAGCACGCAATGTTTTAAATTGATAAACAGTTTTTCCAATCTCTATAATGTAAGTACATACTACGTACCTTCTCAATAAAAGATATAATAGGTCCAGCCAGCAACTCAGAAGCGTCTTTTATAAATGTCTCGCAACAACTTTTCAACTGTCGATCGACCTCCTTTCTCGAATCCAGCAAATGTTCTTTCACCATAGGTGTTCCTTCCAAAAGAAACTCCAGCAACGCATTATTGGAGTTTAATGAAAATATCTGCCTGTGCCTTTGAATAAGGCCATATGCTGCATTCTTAACATTGCTGAAGTCTAAAGTAGTTTCTTTGATAACAAAGTCAACTTGAAACGGAGCGATCTGCTCTCTTAGAATGAGTAAATGTTTGATTAGAAATAGTTCCCCATCAATGTTGGTTTTAGTTGCTGATATTTGTTTAGCAGCGCTGTCTATACTTTGCACGCAGAGCGATATCGCTTCTTGTGCTAGGCCTTGGAACACTTTCTTCTCCAGGCATCTGGAAAAGAATTTAAAATAATGAAAACACATATAAAATTATTATTTTATAATGTCAAGATGGTAAGTTACACGCCTGTCCATAACAATTGCAATGCCACTCAGAGCTTTAAATTGCAAAGATCTTAGGGGCACTGCCACCGCGCCCGTTACCCCGAGACATAAGTTCCCAAGTCCCATATGCCTGTAAATTCATCAGCACCCTTACCATTCAAAACCAGAACACAGTAATGCTGACACTACTGCTTGGCGGCACAAATAGGAAAGGTGGCAGTACTTCCCTGGACTAACTTTCTGGAGCTCTACTGCTACCAAAACATCTTATATCAATAATATACACCTATCATTTTCAATGCCTCAGATTATTTTGCTTGCTTCGCTGTCAGGCGAACAAACGAAGACTAAAGCGTGAATGACGCTCTGTATATGATTTTAACGCCCTATAAGTTCGGACACTTTTTAGCGCGGACCCGACGTCCATATAATTGTAAGTCAATGATTAAGATACAAAAAATCGATTCAAAGAAAGAAAATTCGTGTAACCCTTAATCTAATACTGAGTGAGAAGTTCTGCCATCTAGGTTTTGTACGTAGCAACTTTTCGACGCTCATCATTATCATCAACAACATTCACGTCGAACTGCACACGGGCCTTACCATGAACTCTTATTACAGTTCAGTGTAGGTCTGTAACGTAAAAAAAGCGGGATGGTGATATACACTTCATGTAGCGCTGTCTCACAACGATTCATTATAAGTCCTAAACTGAATCGTAATAAGAGTTCATAGACTCATAGATCGTAACAAGGTCATAGACTACAACGGCTTGGGGACCTCCCACGTCTTCGAAGAATCATGTGTACATTTTACACAACATGTTTTAAAACCGAACACGAATTTTTCTGTGTATCGCGAGTGTATGGGCACACACACAGACAACCACAAATTACACCAAAACTCACGAGATAAATAAATGCAGGCCGTACAAATATTTCTCCCGGCCCGGGAATTGAACCCAGGACCTCTGCGTGATAATCCAGCATGGTAACCGCTCGGCCACGGAGGCAGTTAAAAAAATAACTTAGTAGTGCAATTATTGGTGCAGGCCTCCAAGTGGGAATCAAACCAAAGACCTAAAAAGGCAAGCATTCCCCCAACTAGGGTATAGCTGCTGTGTACCACACAATCTAATAAGTTGAGAGATATGACAATAGATTATTGTAACATGACAAGTTACTATACACTCCTTACCTATAAAGCCTAGATAAAGCGGCGAGAGTCCTTCTAACACCTGGATACCACATGCCATGTAAATCAGCCGGGGAGGCTTGTGGTCTTCTCTGGGCTTCCACATTGATGTTAGCGACTTCCTGTGATGTTGCTGATACGTCGGACACCATTGAATTGCGCGAGTCGCTGCGTTTCATAGATTGCTCTTGAATGGATAGAGCGATTTGCTGTAGACAATAAAAATGAATGAATGAAACAAAAAACTCAATGGAATGATTGATGATATATTAAAAATTATAATGACAATTAGATTATGATGATAGACCTTTTTTAACCGACTTCAAATAAAAGAGGAGGTTCTCAATTCGACTGTCTATTTTTTTTCTTTTTTTTTTAATTCCACCTCCAAGGGTGGCAAACTAGGGGATGACTTTTGAGGTCGGTTTTGTTAGTACTCTGTACGATTATACAAAACAACATACGAAAATGGCCCTTTCGGTTTCACACACCTTTACCACCACCACCTATTTGGCGCGGGTATAGGAAGGTTAAAGATAATACTATGAATTTTTATAAAGTGCAGTTATTGAGAATTCATGTTACTGTATTTTCAGCTTTAATAAACCTTTCTATCAGCGGGGAACAGACGTGGACTGGGATCTCAAAACAATGTGGTCATCATACCACATAAATGCTAGAACTGTTTTGCTTTTTGTGTCCGGTTGCGAGTGTGGAATTATTTGCCTATTCATATAATGCGAGGAGCATATAAATTATTTGTCGAGAGAGACATATCAGAAGATATATTGAACATAAAAATTGGGAACATTTCAACAGAATATTGTAACATTTAAAATGAACGTGGTGCTTATGGGTCCTCACAAGTGCTGTTCAACACTTACTGAACCCTTTTGTAACACTGTAGAAAACTAATTTTATTTATATCACACTATAGAACATGTAAATCAAAATCGACGTATCTAAAATAAATTCAATTTATTTTTTTAGTTTAGTGACAAAGGGCATGGTGTGCCATTATCATTGTTACGTAACAAAGATAATGGATTTTGGTATAATTAATAAGGTACAATTAAGTGGCTTTTTATTATGACACTAAGTAACGAGACGAATACGTCGTGCGCCTGGTGGTAAGCGACTCGTCTGTCCATAACAGTTGCAGTACAACTCAGAGATTTAAATCGCAAAGATCTGAGGGGCACTGCTACTGCACTTCATCATCATTTTGAGACATAAGTTGACAAGTCCCATGTGCCTGTAATTTCACCAGCACCTTTCAAAACCGGAACACAGTAATGCTGATATTATTGCTTGGCGGCAAAAATAGGTAAGGTGGCAGTACTTTAGTGGACGAACTCTTCACAAGGAGCTCTACTGCTACTAAAGATAAAATAAAAATAAGATAAAGATAAATTTATTCTGTATACAAATTTAACTTAAATACATGAATCTTATTAAACCTTTTATTTATATATATTATGTATGTTTACAAAACTTTAATTAAGGTTAATAGTACTAACTAAACTAAGTAAAATTGCTTACTTGTATCTTACTGTTCATATACTTGCATAATAAATAATTTTTTGCACTTTACCAAAATATATACGATTATAGTAATACACGTAATTAATAGAAACTGACCTCCATCATCTCAAGTTTGTCAGGGTAGGCGAGGTCACCGGGCGCTGGTCGGTACATTAATACGTCGGCCCTGAGATGTACGTGAGCCCGGAACACCAATCTCTCTTGCGCGTCTTGAAGAAGAGCACGGGCTGCTACCCCCAATGCGTGGAGGGTTGTAGCTAGAAAAATGGAAAAGGTTAAGATTAAAGAGTAAAACGACTACAAAAACAAGACGATACAATTGATGTAGGGCTTATGAAGGACTTCTATGGTTCAATAATTTTCCCCACTGCCTTTATGTTATAGAACAGAGGTACCCAAACTTTTGTGTCTAGTTTTCCATATTATGCCAATTTTTTCTCTTTTGGGTAGACAGGTGTTCTGCAGTCTTCTGCTTCCGCAACAGTAGAAGTTCAGCACACTTTTTCACGTCTGTTTCCGTTTATGAAGTTTAAAACGTTCCTGAAGTATTTTTCTTTGATATCTTCATAGTATTTATACTTCCGCATCCGCTTCCGTTACAGCTATCATTAAGTTTTACATCTGTTATCGTTTCATCACTAGTTTTTAATCTGTTATTTGTAGTCTTCGCTGCGTTTTACTATTCGGTCATTAAGCAGAGACGTTTGTGGTGTATGCTCTGTTCAGCTTGTTCCTTCGATAACTTCGTGAGTAATAATTTTAAAACGCAAGAGCAAGTAGGTAATTCAGTATTGACCGTATAGGTGTTCCTTGTAGTATGGGCAACTGCTTCTTTGGTCGTTCTTTTTTAAACACTGATACAACAAATCACCGGATTTAAATGTGTATCTAGATTTTTAAACGGAATACTCACGATCATTCTGGACCTGTTCCTCAATGACTTCAACTCGAAGGATAATGCATAGCTCGGCCAAGGTCTCTAGGTGGTTTATGTGGATGATGTGTGGACGCAACGACTCGTATAGACCGTTGCAAAGAGATTGGAGGTAGTCCCTGTGATTAATAATATTTTTTGGTTAAATTACAATATTAGGAGTGCGCTATTGTTCTTGGTACAGTCTGTACAACCTCAAATGGCTTTGGTTTATTCCGCATAACAATGAAAGTGTTGAAACAATCACTTTGGAAAAAATATATAGTCAAATTGAGCATGTACACTGATTACTATATGGTGTGAAAACACGATTCCTAAACATTTTCCTGATTTAAAAACACAAACTTACCTTGTAATTTTACAAGAAAATCGCTGTATTCAATAGTTACATAACATATTATTATATCAATGATTTTTTTAATCATCATCTGAACTAAATAGAACACGTATACTATACGATACACATTTTTGGCGTTAATTAAGATTGTAAAAAAATAATATCCAAAATAAATCCAATGTCTCTGCCGCTCTATCCAAGCAAAATAAACCGTATTAGTACGGAAAAAAATCGAATTCAAGCTAAGGTAGTATCGACACTTAAGTGTGAAGATCGACGCGCTCCTGTCCTTGTAGATAACCACCCACGCTAGTTTAAAAAACGTGGTGATGTATTACAGCGACAAACTAGAGCCAAAATAATGAGTTTTCCTTATGAAACACATTTATAAGAAAAACTCATTTAATATGTCCATTAAAGTATACAATCATCTACCAAACCATTTAAAACAGTTAAGGGGTCACGATTTTAAAGACGCCTTGTCGATTTGGGTAATGGACCACTGTTTCTATGCAGTCAGAGAATACTCAGAATTTAAGACATGAAATAGTAATATATAGATTTCAAGACATTGTATATAACACAACAAAATTTGCACACCTATTTTAATAATTATATACTAAGATCTTGTTAAACGCATTCTAGTAAATAAATGATCTTGACTTTGATCACTTACTCTAACGCCTGAGAAGAGCTGGTGAAGAAATGCGCGTACAAGGCGCACTCGTCGCGACAAGCGTGCGCGAGCAGCGAACACGACGTTCGCACCAACGTACAGTGATCACGCAGATGTTTGGCCGCGGCGGTGGCCAAGGCCGTAGCCGTGGGCGCGCCCGCAACGCGAGCCCGCCTCTGTGCGTACTCTCGCTGGATGTCCGACAAAAGAGATGCGTAGCTGAAAATAAAATTGTACCGGTCAGCTAGCTAACAAACTCGTTGGACTAAATTACTAACATTATGAACAATAAACTTTTGTTCCATAACTTTTAATAATTTATCAAATTTTACATTTCAATTACAGTTAATAGCCACATCTCTAGCCAGGGCTGATAGCTGTAAACCTACCTAACTGGATGACGAAATACTTTCATAGATGGCGCTACGGCTAAAAAATCGTTGAAAACCAAATATAAAGATCCGACAATAAGCACATAGAAAAATTCGTGAGGTTCGCTGGTTCATTCCGTGGCTTAGTGTCTGACACGGTTTGCTAGAAGACATCGGTCCGAATACGGTCGGATTGAAGGAATTTTTTTTAAGTGTTCGGTCTTTGTATTAATAATTATAACAAAATGTGAAGTAATTTCACAAAAAAATAATCGCATATCAATTCAATACAAATTTAATTTATCAAATTTTACTAAATAAAAATATTTAAATAGATCGCTCTATACAATGATAACTCTGTGTGGTAACAAAATAAATCATCGAGGAGGACACTTACATATTTGAATTTACTATGAAATACCTACAGAGCTAAAAGGAGTAGTGCAACAAAAACTTAAAAATTTATTTTGCTAAACTTATTACGTATTATAAAAAGTCCAGAACAAAAGTTGTTGTTTATGATATTACTAATATGGTCCTGCGAGGTTGTAAGTATTTTACAAATAACCCTGTATAGAATTTGAATTAATAAACACTGAACGCAGCCGAAATGATTTTTTTACCCAGGCAACTTTTAACTTTTCTTTTAATCTTTATAAATGTAAAATTAAGACTCATTAGAAAATACTCTTTTTTGGTTACAACCCCGTTTCCAACTCCAAAATTTCAATTGCAATTTTTTAACTTGCAATAAAGAATACTGGGTAAAAATTTAAAAAATCAACAATCAAGTTTGAAAGTTTTTCGTTAACACAACAGCTTAATTGGGTATAACTAAACTAGCAATAAGCAATAGTTAGTTCTGTCATATGTACGTTGTTATTTTTAATGCAGCAATAAACATTTACTTCAGTCACTCATTCATTCTAGTTGTGGAAAGAATATTGTTAGACTACATGACAAACGGTTATATCATGTCAACAAGTCTCGATCCTACATACCACAGTAAGATGAAATCCAGTCTTTATTCTGTCCAATGATAAATTTCACGCAATTATCCATGCAATACTCGTTTTTAAAATACTAAGTTTGTAAATTAATTAATTCAGTTTAAAAATAATTCACGCATTCGGTTTCAGATTTAACGAGTTGAAAATTGGTTGAATTTTTTAAAATCTATTTTATTTAGGAGATTAAACTATTTTTCCGGATTTAAATCGCGTATATTTGTTTTTTCAAACAAACCGACGTTTCGGGCCTTTTAAAGGTCCCATGGTCACGGTTGACTGAGGTGGTACAGTCTTCAACCAGGTCTAATATTGACGCAAACCACACTATAGTTACAATAGTTATTAATTAAATACCTTATTTTTAATTTTACGGGTTTGCATCAATATTAGACATAACTGGTTGAAGACTGTACCACCTCAGTCAACCGTGACCATAGGACCTGTAAAGGGCCCGAAACGTCGGTTTGTTTGAAAAAAACAAATATACGCGATTTCAATCCGGAAAAATAGTTTCATTTCCTATGTGTAACAATCGCGAAAACCTAAGAACTCGATATCCATTTTATTACTATTAAAATATTAAAATAAAGTCCAAAAAAAAAAACACGCTTACTCAGCATTAACGGCAGCACGTCTTTCAATTTCACTAATAACCATTTTCAACTTGGGCGCAGCGGCTTGAAACTTTCCGAAGTAAACAGCATACGCCGTATCTATAGTCTCTTGATCGTTCGGATCTTCATCCTTTGGCGCAAGCACTTGTTCCGTGGCGTGATTCAACACGTGAGTAACATATGAACGGATGAGAGAGATCGCACGATTTTGCAGGTGCCGATATTTAACGAGGTACGTGTGTGATTCTTTGAAGTGACTCTGGAAAACGAAGATATTAACTTGGAATCATCTTCTTAAGTCCTTCTTCGGAAGATTGATGGTAGCCAAGTCGAAGAGCGGTTCCTTGTTAATTAAGAGGTCAACGATTAGATATCCCTGACGCGGCATGTATGTACCTTGGATTTCTACGTTTAAGTTACGTAAAATTTATTTTTGAAAAAACGCACACATTCATAGACATTTGATTTATGAATGTTTAGTAGTTTCTTGGTAACGGTAAAGGGAAATTTCGTGATGAAACCTACATATCGAAGAAGGTTCATAAGTTGCCAAGGCAATGTGACGGACTAGAGCCTAAACCCTCTCTTTTGATGAGACCCGTGCAGTGTACAAGTGAGATCTGTAATGGGTTGATGATGATTATTATACAGGTTGGAAATTCGAGACGGATCGTAAGGACGAGGGGAAATTCCCATAGACCTTTGATCCTTACCAGAAATAGAAACGAATGGCATGAAAAAAATTACATGAAAATTGCTGACTGTACCATTTTTTTTAAATCTGTGAATGCCAATTGAATACGTTCAAAATTCAAAGACAGTATTCTTAGATCATTTTCTTGTAACTATGATAGTTAGGGTAGCTACCCTTGCTGAACCATCTCAAATTTTCACTCTATATATCTTTATGTTCAATTTAACCATTAAATATATAAAAGTATGAATACATGATACAGCTTTTGGCCGCTGGAAGAGTAATTTACTTTTAATTTACTGTATTTTTGCGTAAAATCAGAGTTCGAGATCACTCTCTGTGCGAGTGCGGCCTAGAAGACGGTACCTTGGAACACATTTTTTTCAATTGCCCTAATATTGCTGTTCCACTTTATAACTTACTTTCTCCAAAATTCCCCCGCCCCATTAACATAAACAACCTCTTAACTTTAGTGTTCTCCCCCCATATTGTTACTCTATGTAAATTTATCCACTTAAATAACATATATTTATAAATATTGTTTTGCTGTTTTGTTTTACATTCTCAACTGAGTACTCCCGTACTCCAACTTACCAACACTGGTTAATGTCCTATTAGAGCTTAGCGAAAATTTTTTTTTTGTTTCGTTTTTTTTCTTTCAACTGTGACATTGGCAAAATCATCAGTTCTCATATTGATGGAGCCATAAAAATAAAAAGTGAAGTGAAGTGAGTAATTTACTGTAGGAAATCGCAGTTCATATTTAGTAATCATTGTTGCAACTTACATTGTCCCTCATGTACTCGAGACACTCGTCAATCTTGGCGAGCACAATGAAGAAAGCCTCGCTATTGACAGACATTGTGGGGCTGTGCAGTCTCTGGGACAGATGCTCGACTTGTGTAAAATAGTGCAGTTTGTGCTTTATTTCATCACCTGGAGTTTAATTTTTTTATATATTATTGGAAAAGAAAATGCAGAGCTTCGAAGTCGAACCTTTAATAAATAAATAAAGGTATTATAGTACTCAAATAAGAAGTAATAAGGGAATCTAAATTATACATTGTTCATAGTAAAGTTATACATTTTAATATTAGCATCTAATGTGTAATTGCGATGCCTAAACTAAGTAGAGTCAAGTGTTTTAGGCGTCTAAAATACAGGCATAGACCAGAATGGTCAGTAGTCAAGACAGGAATCAAGAGTCTGCCAGTTCATCATTCGGCCACACGTTCGCGCACGCACACATGCATACACACAGACACAGTCTTACTCTTTTACTTTTCCCTCCTCAAAACATCATTTTATAGTAACTAAAATTTCGAATTTTGTTTTCACTTGTAATTAGTCAATCATAGGAATTAAGACTGCCCAGAGGTGGAGACCTAGTTTTTCTTTTTTTTTAACGAATTTGTTTCCAAGCGTTCCTTCACAGCAAAAACATTAAATCTAGGATAAGGTTAGAATAGAACATTACAAAATATATTTCCTCACTCTCAAAGTAGCCTGTGACGTGAGAGCCAATCTTCCTCTCTACCACAGACATATGTTATGTCTGTGCTCTGTACTTTACCACTAAAAAGAGTGACAAGGTTTATTGCATTACATTGTAACCAGAGAAAAAACAAAAAGGTAAAATATAATAATAATGTAAAAGAAAAAAGGTCAATAAGAACAACTTAAACAATATGCAAGTTAAAAAACAAATTAACGAGATCTTTTAGTTATCTGAAAACAGTTTTAGTTTGTTCAGAGACTGGCTTATACAACCAGATTATATTTCGATGCTATATAAAGTATATATTATTACATGCACTGTGGAGACAACAAAATGATTTTTAATATTATTACTAAGACATTATTATAGGCCCTTCATTTAGGGCCTAAGCAGCCCTTCATCACTGCAACCATTAACTGATCTATTGTGATCACTACTAATGAGGTACAATTCGAAGAAAAGGCTAACAGTACTAAAGAACTGAAGGAATCATAAAATAACAAGTCACAACATTGTTATTTCATAAATCTTTAATTACATAACAAATACATATTTGCAGTTTTGCGCTTTGACTCTTTTCAGAAGGAAGAAGAACTAATTTTATCAATATGTTATTTCTCTGAGAAAGTACCAGCAACGCGCTACATCATGTACGTCTACATCTTGTGTGGTATTGCATTTGTGTCTAAAGCCCTTTAGTACGACAACACAGGAAAACAGGACTTACCTATGCTAGAAAGTTTGTTTTGGTCAGCCAATAACTGCTCACTCATATTGTGCAGAGCATTTGTCTTGTTGGACACCAGTTGATACTCCTCAGTCAACTTATTGAGATCTGACATTGTCTCTGTTATCTGAAAAATGTGAAGAGTATACTATTAGAAATTGCACATTTGCTACTAGAGTACTTAACCTTTGGACATTTTGCAATGCTGCAGGCAATCACACACCTGCAATCTAGTCATTAGAGAAAAATAAATGGCAACTTTGATATTGCCAAAAAATTTACACATTTTTGTTGTTTGAATAGGTTGTATAAAAGCTGACATGTACAAAATAAGTATAGTTTTAATTATAACAAGCTAGTAGAGTAATTTCACAAAAAAGAATTGAATACCTATATATATAATTGAATATATAATAATGAAAATTTAATTAAGTATAGTTTTAGTTTAGCTGTACGGCCGAACATTAGACATACAAAATATTGAAGGTATATTACTTTCAATAATTCACTCACATGCACTTCGACAGACTAAACAAAGTATAACATGTTTCTTATTCAATGATATTACATATTGTGAACACATGGATCTAATAAGTCTGTTAGTAATTTAAACAAAGTAATAGTTATATTTCTTCCTTATGTGAGAGTGAATAAATAAATAAATAAATAAAAAAATAAATATATGGGTAAATTTTAAAAATAATAATTTTAAAATGTAACTGGATGTTATAATAATAATGATAATTTGAGTAATGTCAAAATAAATATACAAATGTCAAAAATTAGATAACAAATTTAAGGATTTGTCACTTAAAAATTCAAACACTGTATATCTGTAGATATTAAATGCAATACTTCTATCTCCTGGCTAAATAAAAATCATGTATTTGCTATATTTGCTGATTGTTCACACTGTAAAGTGTAATACATTGTCACAATATATGCCGCCGATATCAATAGAATCTTTGTCCTGCAGAAACGTGCAGTTAGGGCAATTTACAATCTGGGCCCCAAAGTATCTTTGAGAGATAAGTTTAAGGAAATTAACATTCTTACACTAGCCTCACAGTACATTTATGAAAATGTAATTTATGTTAAAAGGAATAGCAATTTATTTATGAAAAATAGTGACAGACATAACATTAATACGAGGAATAGAAATAAACTAGCTTTTTTTGATAGTTGTCTTCACAAAGTCAAAAAATCATTTAAGGGGCAATGTATACGCTTCTATAACAAGATTCCGGTTGATATACAAAATTTGCCTTTCACAAGGTTTAAAACTATAGTGAAACAAAAACTTTATACTAAAGGTTATTATACAACTTCTGCGTACTTGGATGACAAAAATCCGTGGTAGTAACCCGTTTAGCTCATGGAGGTAGTCTCGATCTCTGATGTTTCAAATAAAAAAAAAAATATTGTAAATGTTATTTACAAAGAGCAACTGGATCTGGAGTCTGGATCATACAATGTGTAACAATTAGCCACTTGTTATTCCGACTATCCAATGCCAACAGCACATATTATTTGAAATGATCATTACGCATTAAAAAATTAATAATATTGACCCTACCTGATTAGTCAAAGCGACACATTCATTCCTTCTTTCTTCCAATTGTTTATAATAAGCCTCATACGGACCATCGTTAGCTTTGATACTGCTCTCACATAGTTTCTCGTACCACTCCAGGAAGTCATATGTTGAATCAACTGGTGGTATTGATGTCGGAGATCTCTCTTCATCTGGTGGGGATTTGGTCTAAGAAAAATAACAGAAAATAGTATATTTAAATAATCACTTTTTATTTTACTACTCTTGATTTATAAGAACGATCTGGTGATCACTGGCTCAAATATGATTGTAACTGTTTGTTGCACCTGTGCAACAGTAAGAGATACTGGTTCCCATGGAACAGGTACTAGTAATTTGGGAATATGAATGGCATGAAAATTTAAATAAATTATACAAACAAAAATGCACTTTTTATACATGTAGGTGCTGTTTTGAATTGTTTACATTGCAAAACCAACGCGGCAAAAAAAATAAGTTAGTAATAATGACACATTAATGGGCGTCCATGAGAAAAAGACCAATGTCAGTCTGCTTAAGATTTGTGACCAAAATTTTGCCTTACCATAATCATATTACACAGATGATTTTTTATGTATGAACATTTTTTTATAATACAGACATAAATTACCTATGAAGTAAACATTTCACAACAAACAACATAATATACCTATTTGGTTAGATAAATGTATATATAAAACTTAATATGTGTTTTTTTACAAAGTTTCACACTATACTGTTAAATTAATTAACGTAAGTAGCTCTGTGTCAGCTGTCAAAGACACATTGAAGAAGAAGAAGAAGAGCAGCTACACAAAACAGAAAAAATTGGCATGTGGTCTACAACACAAAAAAGTTTAAAAACTTCTGCCTTAAGAAATCCTACTATTGATTATTGGTCTAACATGTATACATGTATAACTAAAACATATGACTAAAATTTTAAATGTACATAGAAGTCTTAGAATTTTATTTTAAAAACTTTGTAATTGAATTTTACCCAAAAAAATTTTATTTCACTTCAAAATAGCCAAAATTTGAAAAGGACAATTTCATACTATAACCCCTAATAATAATTATTGTATGTATGTCATATGTAGAATATAAATTATTTATATTCTACATATTACATACATACAATTATGAACAAATTATTTATATATAAATAAAAATTAGCTACTCTAAAACAGGATTATTGCCGAAGTGTATTATTTGCATTGGGTGCTCTTATTCACTGACCAATCTATATGGCATAGTTGTATACAATTCTCCACCGGTCAGTATTAAGACATTGCAGAAAATATCAATAGGACATCACCATGACTAGTATTAAAAGCGTTAAAATTGCACTATGAATGGATATAAAAGTTTTCATGATAAAAAGTAGACCTTCTGAGGTCCACGTATTTTTTTACGAGCTCTACAATTAAATTTCAAAAGTATAATAAAATAGAAATACCATTAAAATCGGATGTCTCATTTTCAGATTAATCGCTAGTATTCCAAATTGAAAGTAAAATAAATACTAACTTCTTCAGGGTCTGTAGAAACACCAAGAATTAGGGACTCCAAATCAAATATTGCTTCCCTCTGCTCTGAAGTTAGCGGCGCTAGAGGATTCTCCGGGGCCTCCCATAGTAACAGCTTGCTTTGAATCTCTTTAAGACTCATATTGTCCATAATTTATTATTTATAACAAGAAATTATTTTTAACATTTGAAATATAAAACAGCTGACGTCAGTACCATTTTGACAATTTGACATTACCAAGCAATTTATGGTGGAACTAAATCCACCATAGACAAACATAATGTTGAATTATAGAACAGTACCAGAAAATATACAGAAACATATGAGAAACACAATAATTGTGAAATTGAAATTCATTAAATATTCTTATAACCAAAAAAGATTCTTTAACAGTCTAGAACAAAAGTACAAACTTCTCTTCCAGAAGTGTTTACATGTTACGCCATCTAGTGCTGAGTAGTAGAAACTATAAGGTGAATATACTCAATATTCTCAGGGTTTTGTGATTGTTACATAGAAAATGAAATTATTTTTTCAGATCAAAAACGTGAATTCAAACTATTTCAAACAAAAACATTTGTTAGAAAAACAAATATACGCCGTATTTTATTTCATTGCTTAGAAACGGAAATTATCAATCTTTTGCTCCATCTATCGTACGTTTCGAGAACTATCACAACTAAGCTTATTCAACATTACCAGAAGCAGTGCCATCTACAAGACACTTTGTGTACTTAATATGCAGTTACTTCTTATCATTGCCTTTAAGCATTCGTCAATATCAACAGATGGCGCTACATTTACGTTTTATTATTTTAGAAGTGTTACCGCGGTGTAATTTCATAAAAATAATCTTTTAATCTGAAACGTCATCGTAAACTTTACGTGTTCATAACACATAACTTTGTTACGACTATTAATTTTTGTTACCAAAATAAGCTTCTTTTGGGATTCAGCTATACATACATTGATTCCAGAATCTTACGAGAATATTCTTCTTTTTTTACTGTACTCTACATTAACATTTGTTCCCAGTAGTAGTGCCGAGTAGTAAAGGCAGAAGTGCATTAAGCTTAAAAGGTTTGAAAAATTTAAAAACAACATTGAGTAGTTTTGCATTTATTGGGTATGAGGAACCTTTCCGGTCAACATAAGCTATAATGGACAATTTCTGTTTACAGTATATTTACAATTTCAGTATTATAATAATATAATTCATATCTAGGTCTAGGGTAATGTTTTTAGGAGTAAATTACTGTATATCCACAATAATTATGAGACCTATAACAAAAATCATTTATACACATAGTAGCGTTGTACAAAACACTACTCTATTATAAGTAAAATAGTCACACACTAGTTGCTGGGACGATCCTTCCTTACTTTGGCTTTCACAATTCTGTACATTCCGAGCTTTTAAATTCTCTAACACTTCGCTGCGCGACATTCCGTTTCCGTCACATTCAGTCTCCCAGCTACTTTGTTCGCTTGTTCATAGATAAACAATGAAGCTAGTTTAAATACAGCGAATATTTAACTTATACATTTTAGATACAACTCTCACGATAACAGGAATAAGATCCACTGAAGGCAGCCTACGGTTCCTTTTCATTACACTCTTCATTATTTACATAATTCCGACTCACAACTTGTACTATATACAAACAATTTAATCTTTAAAAAAATACAGTGTTAAATCGCTATAACCTCTATCATCGATATAGTGTTGGAATAAAAATAGTGTTGTTTTCAGTTTCAGCGTGCAAAATTTACTAAAGCCAGCGACCGCACGAGGCCACATTCTCGCAACGATTCTAATCTAACGACTCTTTACTTACTCTAACGTCGACTGCAGTAAAATACATTCAAACTTTTATATGCATTAATATGTTACAATTAAAGTATAAACTAAATGAAAACTTCACACGACTTCCTATCGACAGATCATTATACTCGGGCCGACGAGGTACAAGTTCTCGCAATTTAATTCAAACTTGATAAATAACTTAAACATAAAAAAATATAGAAAATAAATTAACACACAGTCATTGTTCAATGCATAGGAATATTCAACTATTTCATTACAATTATTATAAACACACGTCTTACAGCGTAATCTTAATTGGAATATATTATGTTGATAGCGATACCTAAACTTTAACTGGAGAAATTATAAACATAGAAACATCAGGACTCGTTGCTGAGATGCGTAGCAAAAGCATGGCTGGTTGAACAAAATTCTGCACTCTATAAAGATTTAATAACATAAAATAAACTAGTTTGTATGATTTCGAAGCTTAATATGTTGAAGGCTCAAGGCACGCGGGCCGCGGGTGGCATCCCAACTCAGTTCCGGGACATGCCGGCCGGCGCGGACGGTGCTCTAACTTGACACTCCTGTGATTTATATCGATAGGCGAGGCGTTGCGAGCTGCGCAGCTTCCCTCGGCGCTCGACCGCGTTTCCACTCGTTCCTTGTTAACCTACGAATTAACATAACACAGCCATAGTGACTCCCCAGGTCCCGCGGTTTGCTCGCGGCTGCTGGGGTCGCGCGCCGAGGGGGAGGCCTGGGACCTCTGCCGGCGGGGCCGGCGGGCGTGGTCAGGGGTGCGGCCCGGCGCTCTACGACACCGGCGGCTGCGGACCCTGTGGCTGTGGGGGCGGCTTCGCGCCTGCTGCTGGCAGTTGTGCCAGCGTATCCTGCGACGCGTGCGCGCGCAGGTACGTGTTCTCCACTTCCAGCTGGTTAATTCTCTCCATCAGTTCGGCGATGCGTTCTTTCAGTACCTCCACTTCTTCGCGCACTGCGAACATCAAGTGGCTCTTAACCAGATCCTGCAACAATGGATAAAAACATGCATTAAACAAATTTAATAAAATTATTTGGGAATACTGTGTATTTTTTAAATTTAGTAGTTACGTAATTAACACGTCTAAGAAAATTATAGTCGACATCTAAAATCATTACTAAAAAAAAAGTCAAACACAATCAGTGATAGAACGTATTTATTCCTGCGCGTTAACATCTTCTCTATAAATTGATTAAAACGCGTGATTGCCGGTAATCACGAAGCAACTGAACGAAACGCACTTTACGAAACACTTCAACGAAGTAATAGATCGATAAACAATAATGCACAGTGAAAAACGTACTTTATTAGGCACGACCACGTAACAGGGATCTTTCTGTCCCTTTTGTCTGATCTCGTAGAGGCAGCCATCTCTGGGTTGTTGCACAAATTCGATCATGATTTTACCGCGACGGGAAAAAAATAATTTTCACGGTCAGTGTATGTAGCCGGCGGCGGCTAAAGTGCACAATAAGAAAAGTAATGCGGCGAAGTTGCTCTTGCGAGTCCTAGCAGGCGACTGATGGTCTGCGCACACGCTCGCCCTATATAAAATGGCGGAGTCGACGAACACGTCACCCGCGAGCGCGCCACGCGGCCGGCCCGTGCACCCTGAACGCAACAACACTGCCTATAACGATACCAATAAGCTCTTGTTTTCATCGAACTTGTTTTCCCCAGTTCCGTTCAAAAATCGCGCGATACGAGGACGTTGACATTTCTGTGCGTAAGTCGAGAAAAAGCTACTTTGCTGCAATGAATCTTAAATTTGTACGTTATGAATGTCTAACAAAGGTGTTTTTTACAGGTGACGAGCAAAATCCGAATTCATTCATACAAAACTAAAAATAATTCCTAAAAAAACATTAATATGGATCACAAACGGACAATCAGATCAAATTACAGCAATCGACTTTCGCTCGACATTAAATTCGAGCAGAAGTTTTCCAGGTTTCGAGAGCGTTCGTTGTGTACCTAATATTAACGTACCTAATATTAACGTAGAATTTTAAATGAAATATTTACCATTATTGACAGAACCGAACGTACCATACAAATTCCAATAAAAGAAATAGTGTTGGTACTATTTTGAAGGCTTTTTGTATTAACGTTCTAGTGCAAAGTGACGATGTACCTATACGGCATGCCGTCTACTAAAGCCAATTAAATTCAACTACCTATCTTAGGTTAACAAACGATGGCCTAAAAATAAACAAATAAATATCGCTGCACAAAATATTCCAACAGATTGTAAACAATTTGTAAGTAGATGTCATTATGAAGGAATATACTCAGAAATGCTAGGACTTCAGCTAGATTTATTAATGAAACTGCAGAATTTAAGATTCTTATGGTAATAGGACGTAGGAATGCGGATGGCAATTACAGAACAAAGTGGAATTGAGCAGAAAATTATAATTTATGCCAGATTGTCGACAAAGGAATCCATAATACTACCCATAGATAAAAATAAAATGCAATTAAAGTTATTTTTTAATAAAAGTTATTTTTTCTCAGAGTTATCGCAAAGGTCGACAAAAATGGCGATTCATTTTTGCTTGTAAAAGAGAATAATCTGTATGTATGTAATAGGTTTGGTGATCAAGTTTTAAGGATTCGAGATTATGGACGGTTTAAAAGTGGCGTGTGCGCATTTTTCCAGCTTATAATTAGAATCGTAAAAATAGCAGCGCTACTTGACGAGATCTTATTAGTGGGTGCGTAGGTCAACAACAGCAACCACTCCAACAGCACCAACAACGTCAACAACTCTAATTGAAGGTCGGCACCTTCAATCCGATGTGTTGACTGCACCAATGAATTCCGGTTCTTATGTTGCTGATGCGGTGAGTCCAGAATGACGATGCGCCAATAGACATATTGACAGAATTCACGATACTGGCGTTCAATTGACAATATCGAACATTGGTACAAATGGGAGACATAATCAAACGATTATTACCAAGTGTGTGCAAATATTGGAAAAATCAAAGGTCAACAAACATCATAAGTAGCAGGTGCAAAACAGGAAACAGTGATTAGAGTGTCATTTATCGAATATGACAATGGCACTACATTAAAACAGTACTTATCTGTATGTGCGTATATCCAGGAGAGGTTAGTAGGTAAACTAGATAACGACAGAGTGCTCGAAAAACATGTCATTTTAGATAAGATACAAGACAACACGGTGCGCTCAATACCTGGTGTAGCTGAGTAACCGAGTGATCACCATGTCATGAGTGGTCAATTTAGGCAAGTGTTAAATGAATATAAAACATGTGTAAACAAAGCTGTTCCTCTGAGCACAGGACTGATGAGTCCAAGGGAGTAACTAGCAACATTGTCGGACGAGAACCTGATACTAGCAATTAAGTTGATACCAATGCATGTGAAACTTCCAAATTAGAACGTGTTTTATGATTTGAGACTTATATTAATGCACGGCCTTGAGCGCTTTGAACGTGGCAATTTTAAAAGAGAATGTATCATGTACACACATTTTTGAGCAAGTATTTGTGATCGGTTGGATTAACAATGTAGTCACGATGATTATGTTTCTCTTGCGGTACTTCAATATAGTAAGCATATTTTCATGTGAGATAAAAGACAATATTGCAACAAATAAACATCAAGACCGCAACAAAAAAAAAAAATGTGCTGCCTTATTTGATGGCGTAAGCTGGTGTGATAAAAACAGTGATTAGAGATTCAACGCGGGGAAGGTAGACGGACCGGTTCTGGATACTGAATACGTAAACAACATAAAAGTTCAAAACACTATTGTGGTGACGTTCATTTACATGAATAATACATTTTATAGGTGACATCATCTCCTTTGAAAGAAACGGCAATGTTTACAATGAGTGGGTTGCAAAGCAAATTAATTTTGTTTAATAATAATAACCGGAATATGATCCGTTTGTAACTATGTTGTAAATGGTCACTTAAAAAGGCTTGAACTTTGTTCATATAGTGATCACAACAAAAATATTATAAAGATAATACGTAAATCATAACAATCTTACTAAAACTATACACAGTGACGAAAAACATAAACTTGCCTATTGTATGGGTTTTATAGCTTCATTTAATAAGAAATATAAAAAATAGCGTGAGATTTTAAATACAACTTTATAAACGAATCATTATTTAGATTAGTATTTCTATGGGAAAGAATTGATGAAAAGGACAACTACACTACATACTATAGCAGACTAAAGCAATACAACACGTCAATAATAAGGTAATGTAGCCATTAAATTTCACAATAAAATAACAGTAATTTTAAATCATTTACATAATAATATTATTTGGTAAAGATACTCATAATATGATTATAACAGTCTCTACAGTAAATGTATACAAAACAAATGATAATGCTCAAGCTATCTCTACGTATAATGAAGGCACAAATGGATAAACATAATTATTAAAATCATTATGTCAATACAAATAACGAGCACAATCGGCAAATAATAATCGACTATTAAGGAATGTAGTGTCTTAAATAAAGTCAACGATATTAACAAAGGGCGAAATTTGCAGGAGTAATTTGTATTTCAGCAAGCACGTGTACAAACACATAATAGGAATTTTCAATATTGCTGAAATTTGTATACAACAAATATTTTAAAATAATATTCATGACTGTGAATGCAGAGCGAAAATGTAACTTTTAAAGTTGATTGGAAGGATATAGTACTTTAAAAAACTAAGAACAATCCATTAGTTACAATAATTGATACTAGACAAAAATAAATAGAAACGGTAACAAACGTTTCATTCGTTCAATTGAATTTTGTTCAGACAATCTTATCCGATTTACAAACGTCCTTAAATCGACCATGAAGAAAATAAAAACAAAGTGCTGACGTAGACCATGTTATCGTTCTGAGACACGTTCTATAAACAAGTATAATCTCCAAAAAGGTCACTTCAACTTGGCATGGTGATTTGACCCTTGGCGGTGATGTCAGAAATTATACATGCAAAACCAGGCATAAAACAGCAATTTGTGAAGATTCATTGAGAATGTTATGAGTCCATCTACAGTGTATCTGCAGTCCGATGACTTTAATCAAGTCATCGGACTGCTTGAATGTTGTTGATTAGGAAGTGAACAAGTCAAATCAATAAGTACTTAGGTAGGATAAATCTGCGTCTAGAATATAAAAACAATATACCTATAATTGCTAAAAGTAGATTAATGTAAAAATAACATAAGAACGATGCAAAGATGTTATGGTAAATGTTTTGGAAAGAATAGTTTACACAGTTGCTAAACATTGAAGCAAGGTCGAGGCGAGTTTCGCCAATAACAAGTTTCGAACGAATCTGGTTTTAATCGGATGATTACTGAATGCGCATCGTTCGATAAGACGTTGAACATAACAATCGGAATATGCTTTAAGTCGCGTACGTTTCCGCAGATTATCGTATTTTTCCGTCGTGTTTATCTACAAAAATGAAGTTCAGAAATTTCAACAACTATAACTGATAAACTCAATAAAGAACATATGAAAATAATATCTTGTTATTAAGCAAATTTCCTTTCGATTTTGTCTGAATAAATAAAATTAGCAGGTTCGTATACGAAGGGGGTGTATTAAAGGATCAAGTCGTGACGCTCTCTAAGAATGTAGCTGTGGCAAACGTGACAGCTTCATTACGGGGGTACAAGTTGGTTTTCTCAGAAACTTTCCTAGCGTTTCCTGGCTTGCAATGACTTCGTGCTTTGATTCAGATCTGGCGCGTGCGCTCTCGCGCTGTTCTTAGTTGCAAATTATTGCCTGCTTGATCTCGATATTGGTGGCACTCGACCAACTCGTGTGACCCCTATGCCTCCGGAACTATCTACCATACCTATTTGACTTGAGTATCTGGTTTCAATTTGTGATTGTGAAAGGTTGAAGTAATATGGAGCGAATGGGAAAGTTGTACAATACACCGTAAAGGACATTACAGCTTAGATAGAATTAGGTTTCATGTATATTCGCGTTCATTATTGTCTGGTAGAAAATGTTATAGTGATAGTGACTAGTGTAGTAGATAGTGAGTTTTTGGTTTCATTGCTTCCATTAACTTCAAAAATCTGGGAAGCGCGTGTCTCCTGTGTCACCTCAAGACTAGCTTTCCTTCCGCGTCTATTCTTGGCCGGGTGAACCCGGGTCACGCCTGACTCATGCAAAACACGTACATAATGAGGGAATTAGCATACGGCGATACTTTAAACGAACTAAAATTTCCAAGTTGTCTTCAGTGATGGTACAAAATGTCTTCATAATAATTACCAACGAGACGTAAAATTAAAAAAAATAAAGACGAAAAATGATTTTGTTTTCAAGCGAAAATGCGTGTAAATTTAGAACTATAAACATTCACGCGTGAAATCTTGAAACGTTTAAAAAACATGCGAAGGGATAAACAGATTCAAAGGGATTTGCGCTAGAACAGCTGTGGGACGAAAAAAACTGGGTCAGTAGTATAGTTCGCTGTACATCACTGGACGTTGGTAAACATAGCTGCGATGACGTAACGTGCCCAGCGGTGCTGACGATCTTACGAAATGTACGAGAACCTCTAGAATGTAAAATGATGTACAATTTGTATGCATCTGTCGAACGTCGCGTAAGATGGTGTGCTCCATTCAAGGCAGACAGGTTCCACTCACACGAGCCTTCACATTTTAATATGGATCTAAAATATTTGATTCTTTTTCTCTACGTTGGTAGATTTTCATTTGAAAATTAATAAAATGAATTTATTACTACAATTATACTCGAGAATTTAAGTACCATATCATCGATTAACCACACTTCAACAAAGAAGATTTCGTAAATAAGTGAACAGGGAACAAAGATATGACTAAAGTTTAATCTATTCAATTGGTTTTATGTTTTGTATTTATAGAGTTGGTTGACAGGTAACCGTAACAATCAACAAGTAGTGATATGATATTAATCTTGCTTACAATAAACCAATAAAATACGTAAATGAAATTTTGATAAAACCATTTTTACGAATGACAAGTAATTATAGATGGAGCCGATAGATTTGTTATTAAGGGATCAAAAGGAGTAGCTAGCTAGATTGGAAGTGATTACTTAAAGCAATGAAATGCCTACGTAAAACGTTGATAAAACTGTTTTTACGAACGGTGAAATGATATAGAAAGAGTCACTAGATCGGAAGTAATACTTCAAGGACTTAAAATGGATCTGGAAGAATGACACGAGCGTGCAAGGTTTAAAAATACAGTGGATATGGATGGTGGGCATAAGGGTGAGATTGAGGTCAATCGCTTGAGGCCATCTGCGTTGGCTAATTATAGGCGATGCGAGCGCATGCGAGGCCCATAGCGCACAGCGATGAATCGCAATTGCTATCAAGAACGCATCAGATGGACAGTGAAACTTTGTTGCGCATGCACTCTCTACGGATGCAAATTGGACTCGCGTGGAGAATTGTGTTCATGGATTAAGGCGTCGCGAATAGGACATGATGGTTCACACAAATACTACATAGGAGCATCAATTTATGGTAAACACATAACGAAATTTAAAACAACGCATAAAACAAAGTAAAAACGTAATTAATGATTCCAATTAAACAATTACTCAATTTAGTGTGAACAATAAATTAAAATTAACATACGATGTCAAAACGTAATAAAGTCAATTTAGTCACTGCCCAATTTAGTAACGATACTATTATGAATAAGGAAAAGCTAAGAGGTAAATTTTATGTTTGCTTTAACGTTATTCGGTCCGCTGAATCATGAAAGACAATAACTATGTAAAGTTGACACTATCATAGTGACTTAATATTGGAATAATGTTATCCACAGAAACAGTGTTTTATCATATATATTGTAACTTGCTAAGGTGCTTTACACGGCTGTGTTAAAACGGGACGCGCTTCCTGGCCATTAAAAGTAGGAAGTCATTAGAAATTCAACAGTGCCTACGATCTAATAACGGTATTATATACATAACTTTACCATTACGGACACGGTGCTCCTAAGAGGTTGCATCTTTACGCAACCTGGGTAACTTGCTGAATTTAATTATTTTTTGCTGTGTTTCGTCAATTTATATTTGTCTGGTCTTAGCATTTAATATTAATTAGATTGCCGCGTGATCTGTATCTATTTGATTTTAAGCAGAATTTCGAGCGCCGCTGTATTTGCAAATTTAATTACCCTAATCACGTGCGTGAGTTATTTCAAACTAACGTTTTAATTTTCATTATTTGGTCAAGACAATTTCATATGTAGAAGGATACATTATAGAGTATAATTAGGGTCACGTCTTTAAACCAGGTTTCTTTGCAAAACCCTTTATGGAAGTCCTATCTTTCATCACATATTCCTATGACTGACTGACAATGATATCGTACAATCTTAAATCCCATGCGCTGTTGTTATATTCTCTTTCGCTGCAAGCATAACACGCTAATGAAGATGCGCTTTGTAGTACTCACGGATGGTACTATGAAAGGAATTGAATTTTCTAAAGCTAAAGTTAATTGAAGTAGTAAACATAAAAGGCTGGTAAGAAATGGGATTTCTCGTTTGAATACATAAAGACTTTCTAAAAACCTTGCTAAACAGTGAAAAATCGTGTCCTCAAGACACGAAATATATTAATTTATGGAATAAACTATTAAGGGTAGAATTTAGAGAATGAGATCGTTGAGAAACGGCCCAGAATTTTTGAGCTTTGCAACACTAGTCTGGATAATAAATAGTAATCGAATCCTTTGTTTGCGACGTTCGAATGATTTCCTGTATTTACCAGCAATTACAGATAATAGCAGCGGCAACTTCAAAGATTGAAGCCGGTCACGTAAACAATATGCTTTGTTGTATTATTCTAAGCTTGTAGCGTAATATGTTTGACCTTTTATGGTATTTGAAAGCGGGATTTTTGTGCTAAATATAGTATTAAATGGTGAACAGTTCTTAAGTTAATAAGGTCAAAGAAAATTGCTCGAGAACGTCTTCCAATGTCCATGAAAAAGAAGATAGGGACTAGCACTCTACTAGGAACATAGTACGTCCAAGAACGAGGTTTTTATTAAAGAGGTATTTTTAAAGATAGGTATCTGTTACGCTTTTAATCGTTGTTTGCCTGGTGATGATCTTCCTGACGATAACTTTAAAAAAAAAGAGGTCAAAATGAAATTTGCTTCCAAATTCAAATTTTAAATTTACCGCGCGATTTTCTATGGACAAACACAATTTTTTTCTGTGTTTAATTATTTTCATTGTTTTTTATCAGGAAGATAACCAGTTGCAATATGGTTGCACCATTTTATTACAACTCGTGTACGAGGTAATATATGATTAACATATCAACGGTTGAAAGGTATAAGAGACTAAGCGAGACCAAGTTACAAATAACTATCATTTTAAGAATCAGCAGATTTTGAATGATTTCATTTCTAAAGTTTGCAAACTATAAACCGCTCCCTTGAACAATTTCAGAAATGTCGTTTAGTTCTTCTATTTCTTCCAACTTTAACATAAAAAAAAGAACTTACCATAGCTTGCTCGATCTTGTTGTCGATGGCCACCGCGCTTGTGCCCGATGCGCTATAACAAAAAAATACAATTAGTCACAGTTCATTTAATAATAATTCTATAGTAATCATACCAAAACAGTACGTAGAGATTTTCACGCACTATTGCTCACATCCGGGTAGAGGGGTAGAAAATATACGTAAACGCATGTTTTGCAATATGCGTATACGCATAATTAGGGCGCGTCCGCCAGAAGACTATTAATATGTTTTAATTGTGCATTTGCAATATTTGCTTGTGATTTAAAACTGCTCTTTGAATCTTGTTTATGAAAGACTGGTTGGTGTCATGAAAGGGACAGACTTAATAATCTTGCAATGGTCAGCAAAAGTGTGAAAAGTGTGAAATGTGAAATCATTTATGACATTCGTGTGGTATAGAGGTAACAATAAAATATTACGTTGTTCGATGAAACACCGAGATTGAAAAAAAGGGAAATTCCATGAAAACATTCCACCCAACAAACAACAGTCGTGGAATTATGAAAACAGATTTGAAAATAACTTTTTTACGTAACAAATATGTGAAGAAAATTCGTTCCGTATTTTTATGTAAGTCCGGTATATCAATGGAAAATTCAAAGGAATGCGTACCAAATCTTATCGTACACTTAGGCATTTGAAAAACAGTAAAATGAAAATCTAAAGCGGTCGCCATGTGAATGTGAACGGAAATTTTACAGAAAAATTAAAAACCTTGACGAATTCATTAGTTAATCGAAACTTGGTATATTCTTACTAGCAGGATAAGCTTTCGTAAAGACGGTTCGATTATACGTTTATAACGTGCAGCAGCTTATGATATTTTTGAGGATAAAAAAAATTAAAGATGATTCTTGTTGTTGCACTTTTACGGTTGAAGAAGAACGTGCACTTAATTTTTAGTTTGATCTGGTAACGTCAGAGGCGATTCATGTGCTTCAGGTTAAGGTATACTGAACGACGCTGATGCGAGGGCACCGCAGAAGGTAGCACTGTCTTGGATTGTATATTACAGTTCTTACTGTTGCGTAATTCAATTAATTGTTTATTATTTTTATTTAAGCGACCTCGGTGGTCGAGTGGCTTGCACACCGGTTTTCATGATGTAGCCATCTCTGAGGTCTCGGGTTCGATCCCCGGCCGGGTCAATGTAGAAAACTTAATACTGTCTTGGGTTTAGGTGTTTGTGGTACCGTCGTAGTTTCCCATTCCCATAACAAAAGAGCTTTAGTTACTTACTTTGAAATCAGAGCTATGTATGAGATTTTGTCTAATATTTATATATTTATATTTATACTTGAAGGGTACTGTCAGATACAAAAAAGAACTATAATTATAAAAACCAACGGCCAAAAGGAATTATATGATGCTGGTCGCCAATAGATATGTTGCATTAAAAGTAACTAAAACACTTGAACAAATATAAACCGGTAATTTTAAGAAAAGCTTCCGTCGATTGCGGTGCGGATGATTACACTAATAGGGTGTAGCGGGTAAACATTGCAAAATCATTGACCCGAGTTGTAAACCATTCACTGATGTATTGTAACAATATTGAGAACAATAGCAATAGCTGAATTCAATGAAACAGAAGCTGTAGATGTTATTTTTATTGGAATATAGTGTTCAAATGTAGAGAATATTATGTCAATAAAAAACAATTACACGTCAATGCAAATAAAGCCCTCTACGCAGTTGCTAAGAGCGTACACATCAACAACAACTCCCACTCGACGCAGATGTGAACGATGACCCAGAAACCCCTATTGATGCCTCTCAGACAGTCCGCCGCCGACCACTAATGCAAATTAAAGAAAAAGCAGTCAGTAATGCATCACAATTGCAATAAGTGTACGAACCAACGGAATTCAGTATTTGTTGCGAGATAACTCATTGCTGCCACGAGAGGTACTACAACACTAGCTGTTGTTTATATAACCATAATAGGTGTTAAAACAATACACATGCATAGTCGAAGTAAAAGTGTCACGAGAGCAGCACGCGGCTAACGGCCACGTGCAGGTGACGACACAGTTTACTTCGCCGAAGATGCATACTGCTGACTTATCCATTATGATCCAATCTCGCTGGTGTAATCGACCGGTAGCTAGTATGTAGCACGACGTACGAGCGTACTTGACTTTCTCCGGAGTTGGATTCCGAGTCGCGTCAACGAGGTGAACAACACAACGCTGAAGTTGAACTCATTGGAGAGTAGAAAATGAGACTTGCGGCCATGGTTCGATTTCGATCGATCGAAAGATATTGAATAGCAACCGTGGATCACGTGATCAAATACTAATATAACGTTCCAACTAGTAAATTCACAAATACTTGGGGATCTAATACAAAATTAATGAAATATCTATGACCGTAGCTTCTTCACAATTTTAACTCAAATACGCGACAATTATGGATAAGGGGGTTGACAATAACAGTAGACATTTTTACTTTCTCTATACGGATCTAGCAACGAAAACAAGTTTTTAGTCTCTTGTGGCTGATTACGCAAGTTAACAAAATTGCACGCGGTGACAAGGTATATGAAAAAGTTGAAACACAAGCCGGTGAAACCCGAGTAGCAGAGAAAGTACTTTGTGGAGGCGACGACAGTTTGCAAAGATTTAAAAACGATATAAACTCGAAAAACCAATTATCATATTTAAATTTCTTTACGTCTTAAAATGCCACGAGTTGCTGCAGAGACGAATGATCATTATACCAATATGGGAAATATGGTTCGTTGCCAAATATAACTTAAGCAGTTTCACATGTGTCAGTCAGCGAAATCCACCTGGCAACGGCGCATTTCTCGGCAAACATGAACGTTGAAACTCATCGATAAAAATAACCTGTTACTGCGTTTTTAGACAGACGTTTGGCAACAAAGGACTTCTTCAAGTTTGGCGTCTGAGATATAAGGCTGTAAAAAGGGTGCGTGAGTAAGTTATATACATACAAATGAAACAAAGAAAAGATATGACGTGTTTGTGATAAAGTGTGTACTTTGTCGTTACATCATGCACGTGCGTGTAGCCCATGAGTTTTGTGTACTCAATTCCGTACTTAAAGTCTTTAAGAACAAAAAGCACCAAAAGTAGCATTAATTGTAAAACAAAGCATCAGTACATTTCATCCGCAATCAAACTTTTCCCAACACAAAAAGACAGACCTCGTTTTTTACTCGTTACATAGCCATGTTACTAAAAATAGCATGCGCCGAATATAATACTACAGTCGTTATAGTCAATTATAAAACCTGTTTTGATGATAAGCTTTTGTTGAGAGTCGCATACAATGAAGTCAGGCCAAGGATTGTGCAATAAACTATACGAATGCATGGAGCAAAAAGTTGTTAATGGAAACTTGATGAAGAAATGTCAATGTGTTAAATAAAATGTATACACTTGTTTATCGTCGTCTCTGTTATTGAGAAGTCAAATACGTATTTATAATCATTTTACAGTCGATCGATGAACTAATAAGTCAATGAGATTGTTTGTGGACATGCTTTTTGAGTAGGTCTTACTCATTGAGGCAAGAGTAAAACTTGATGCTATTCTGCTAGAAAAAAATAAAATAGAAGTGACAACTATGCTAATTGTTACAAAAGGCATTGTAAATTACCTACTTTCCAATTGCGCTGCATTTGAAAGACAATACCGATTCAGAAAGGTCACGGTAGGAGTGGACGCATGAAAATTCAACGTCTTAGTCACGCACTGAAATACTACACTCACTTTAATGTGCCGCTTGGCAATTTCAATTAGCTACAAGCGCAGAACATTCTAATGTATTCCATTGCACAGAACAGCCTGACATTTCAGGCGCTATAGTTGGGAGCGTTTATTAAGTGATCATTCGTAATGACCAGTCGCAAACGATTCTATTGGGAGCTGCTGAGTCACAAAGCGGCATGTTATAATTCTGCATGGTGATAGATTATCGCTGTACTGCACGGCATTATTATCGTGTAGCGAGTCAACACTGTATGCAAGGTCGTTGAGGGGAAATCAACGGGTATCTAGTTGTGTCGACATAGTTGATGGTTGGCGCCTAGTGGCTCAACAGAAACCGTTACATCTTGCGGCTACATTTCATAACACCATTCACAGTACCTTTCAATTTGAGCGAGTAATCGAAGTAACTAGTTATCAAAATTGTGGTCAAAAGCGGAGATGCTGATTCCGGTAAGAAGTAAATTAAGACTACGCTTAATGTGAACGAATATAAAGGTGAATTACGTGATCCGATAAACTTAAAAGTAATAAGTTTTTCACATGGTAGTAGTAAATACTAAAGTGAACTAGGATACGTACAATAAAATGAATTGTACACAATGGACATTAGTGGAACACGAGGGAATGAAGTGGAGCCCGTGTTTGTCATGCGATTTGGTCACGCAAGGTTTCTAAATGGTTGTCCAAAAAGCAGCCGCTTGTTATGAATGGCTTAATAATGAACGGATTGCAAAATAACTCGGCGCCATTTACAATTACATATAACTTATTCACTCTAATAAACTATACAAATTAATGCAGAAGTTTCCGAAATAACATTGCTGTCGAGTAATGACCGTGAATATTATAAGACCTATTAGTCACATGAAGATCCTGTTAGCAACTAAAATATGCACCAGAATTTGTTGACTTGTTAGCGATTTTACAGACAATTACATGGTAGAATCACGTTTGTTTTGCAGTGTGTGAAAATCTACGCTACTTAGTGCATTGGATCGATACAGCAGTCGGACGAAAGACGACTAGGTTCAATAGGCTAGCGTCGACGTCGGCCAATCACAGCGTTTTGTCTCGCTGCAACCAGCTCGGCCACGTTGCCGTAGAACCTTCACCGACTTACTGGCTTCGTAATTAGCTGAGCACTGTGAGAACCTTCACAGACTACACTGGGCCATGATTTATGACAGCCGCAATGCGTCAAATTTACTACGAGCAGAAATCAAAGAGGTACTCACACTGGATAAAAGTAGTCGATGTATTTTACGACGACTTCTCTGAGGAGGTCTTGCTT